GATTAAATATGCTTAGGTTGTCAATTCATCCCAAATTGATCTAAATGATCTAAAGATCAATCAGTCCTGTCCAATAAAAATTCCAGCAGGATTTTTTTTTTTATTTTAGAACTATACATTCTAAGTTTTATATGGAAAAGCAAAAATCCTAGAATATCTAAAGCAATTTTCATAAAGAACAAAGTTGGAGGATTCATACTGCCTGATTTCGAGACTTACTATAAACTATGAGTATAATGGTATGAGGATAGATATATGTCAGCGCAAGAGAATAAAGTCCAGAATAGATACACACACATATGGTCAATTGATTTTTTCATAATTACCCAAAATAATTTCATAGACAAAGGAGAGTTTGTCAACAAATCATACTGCAAAATATTGGATATTCACATTAAAATACAAACCAATAAATTTACAAAGAAATAACAAACTCAACCCATACTTTGTGCCACTAAAAAAAAAAAAAAGTAAAACAAAAAACTCATATAAAGCTCATAAAACCCAAACCTGCAAGACAGACTTCTATAAGAAGAGCGATTCCTAGAAAGATATCTCTAAGTTTTGTTTGAAGCAAAAAATATTTTTGATAGGATACACAAAACCTTTGGTTTAAAAGTTTGATAAGGTAGACTTCATTGACATTGATAATCTGTGCTTTGAAAGAATTTACTATGAATATGAGAATGAGAGCCATAGACTAGAGAAAAACATTTTCAAAATATACAGCAGATGAAAGACTTCCATCTAGAATCTAAGAACTCTTACAATTAATTATCAATAATACAATTTGAACAAATGCTTCACCAAAGAAATAGATATGAATAGCAAACAAGGATATGAAAAGATTATTAATATCATTAGCATATAAAATAATCACAATGATATGCCATTGTACAAATACTCAAATGGTTAATATTTTATTCTAGATAGAGAATTATAAAGTGTTGACAAGGATGTGGAGCAAGTGAAATTCTCATACTTTACAGATGAGAATACATAATGCTACAAATACCTTGGAAAACCTATTGCCATAATATCTTATAATCATCTCATATGTATTTATCCAAGAATGATAAAACCATCCACAATAAGACCTGAACGATTTTAGAAATTGTAATAGTCCTAATGTGAGGCTGATTTGATCATGAACAAATGAATTAAGGTAGATCAACATGATGAACTATTACAGAGAAATTAAAATGAATGGATTCAGACAAACATGAACCCATTTAAATCACATTCTGGAAAAAGCAAACCTTATGGGACAGAAATCAGATCAGTTGTCAGGTACTAGAGATGGGAAAATTGGACTGACTCCAAAGAGATAGCAAGACACTTTATTTCTTAATTAGAGTTGTGGCTATGAAACTATATACATTTGTTAAAACTTATTGAACCATTAAACTAAAATAACAAATGTTACCGTTCATGTTATATTTCAACAATTCTGCTTGAAAAAACTATTACAGGTGGCAGATAAATCCAAGGTGTATTTAGGATGTAAAATCAAAAAGACTAGGTGAATGGATTGACACAGGAGATGCTGGGGAGGGAGATGTATCAATATCTTATGAGAAATACTTTAGTATGTCTAGAATTATAATAAATGTCTGGAATTTAGTCATCAGTTTTACCAGAATGCAAATTCTGAGAGGTCGGAAGTCTGCAGCATATCAGAACAAGAGGCTATAAATGGCAATACTGTTCAGTTCAAAATAGAGTCCTTGTGTCCACACCATAATAAGGGTTAAATCTCATCATTTAAAAGTAAGAAAAGTATATAGAGAAAGATTATGACAATTAAATAATCATGTACTCAATAACTATGTACAGAGCATATAATTTGTGAAAAACACTCTATTAGACTCTATGCAAAGTATAATTAAAGAAGTTATTATGGGAAAAATACCTTGAAAAGAGAGCATAAAATGTGACTTTTGCTTTATACATGAGTACTAATAATTATTGTGGTCTTGATTTTTAACTTGTAAGTATTCATATTCATAAGCTTTGTCTTTCCCTAACATCCCTTTTGACTTTATCTTTCTGTTATATTATGATAGGGTATCCATTCTTATTTTATAATATAATTGATTCACAATTTATTTATGATTTAATTTGAAAACTACTATTCAAGAATGCTGGGCACTAGGGATATAAAGTCCTTCAGGAGTTTTCAGTCTAAGGATAGGATCCAAGTAAGTAAACAGTGTGACACTAGAGATATAGAGGCTAATAAATATCTACTTTAAGCTTCAAATACCAGCACATTCCCCTGGGATCAGATTCCTCACCTCCACCTTCTACATGCAGAGAAAGAATAGTTTACATTACTGACAAAAATTATTCTCACTAACAAAGCATCATTTTTGGAAGCTATTCATATATGTAATACAAATTATTACAGAAAGTAATTCTGTTTTGTATAACACAAGAGATACAGAAAACAGCCCTGATAGTTTATTTTTTATTTTTATTCAATTGTAACAGGCTTACCTGGTTTGAGATGAGCGAATGGAATTTCACCAGTGAGAAGTTCCCAGAGACACAGAGCATAGCTGAAGACATCAGCCTTGATGGTGTAGCGTGTGCACTGTGTGAACACCTCAGGAGCCATCCAACGGAGGTTCTGTATATTGAGAAACACCCTCCAGTCATTTCCCAAATAATTGTTTTTCCATAGTGGTGAGGATTTAAATGCTCTCCTAATGTTATCAAAAGCTACAAATATAAAATATCATCCATACTACCCTCAATGAATGCAATAAATAAAGGACACTTTAAAAAAATCATTAGAAGGTAATACAATCTATCATTCTTCCAAAAATATTGCAACGATATTAATTATTAAGTAACCCTGCCTCTTATAAAATGATGATCACAGATGCAGTATTTTTGTTTATCAATGAACATCTTTCCATTAGAAACCTTAAAGGCTTCTGAATAGCTGGTCCTGGATTCATCCAGAAACTCTGTGACTCCCTAGGGGTATATCATACCCTGCAGGAGGTACCCTTCCTTCTTTAGATCTTGGTTGCAATTTAGATAGTCACTAAATTAGGGCCATAAATCGTATCTTCATGACTGGGCATAAAATATTTTAGTGGAGTGCCCAGAATATTCCTATGCATTAAATTTCTCATTGGCATGATCAAGTCTGTCTTATCTTCCTTGTTTACTTAGTCATGCTATTTCAGAATGCTGTTTTTGCAGTATTCCAAAAGAAAGATAATAAAATGTTATGTTTCTCTGTAGAAAGTTCTATTCTCATGTTTCAACAGCATTATTTACATTCTTTACTTTTGTAATTATATATTTTTTTCAGTTTTAAGATGTTTTTACTCTGGGATGCAAATGATTTGTAACAAAGAGCACTAATTTTGAGTCAGGAAATGAGAATTTTAGTTGATTCTACCAATCTTTGGGCAGCTCTGACCTTAGATTCCTTAAGGGCAAACAGGAGACAGGCCCTTCCAGCTCTAAAAATCCCATGGTTCCATAATTACATTACTGAACTTTATGAAATACCTTTTTTCTTTATATTTCCACTAAAGGAAACCAGTATTCTTTTATTACTTACTCTTACTAAAACTCTGTGTGTAGTGCTGGCTGCTGAAAATTCTTTTGAAGCATCTACCTTATTTTGAAATCATGCATAATTACAGCTTTCCAAGAATATCTTTATTCTGATTATATTGCTCATATGCAATTCTTCCACATGAGTTTTCATGTTGCAAATAGCCTTCATTTATGTAGCAGATTATGCATTGTGTCACAACATTGCATAGGTGGGAGTAGGCATACAGCATGCCCATTGTTTCACAAGGGGTAATAGAGTAATTAGCAAATTTAAATAAGGTTGCATAACTAATAAGAAACAAAATAGCCTTTGAAATAAAACTAGAGTAGTTTTGTGCTTAAAGACTATTCTGCTAGGATAAAAAAAAGCATTACTTGCTCCTGGCAAAAAAATTAGATAGAATCCCATTCAGCAAGTTTACTGAGTCAGAGGGTCTCAAATGCTGTATTTTAAAAACATGAGGGAACTCTTAAAAGATAAGAGTATCCAAGATCAACCTCCAGCCAATGAAATCCGTATTACTGGTGGTTAGATTTAGATAGTATGCTTTAATTAAATTTCAAAAAATCCTGTCATTTTAACATGGAGCCAAAATGAGACCATTGATTTAGCAATCTCTGTGCCCTAGAAACTAAGTGAGGTCTTGTGTCTTGTCTTCCATCAACCTTAACTCATGTCTTAATATTCTGCTTGCTTAGTCTACTTCAGTCATTCTGAACTCAAATACACAAAGCCCTTTTATACCTCAGGGCCTTTGCACTTACCACCCTCCCTGTTAACTCTGCTTTTCCCTGGACATGTCTGATTCCTGTAACAGGTCTCTTATCAAATGTTATCCTTCTCTCTTGGCCTATCTAAATGATAATCATATCATTTACTCTGCTTTGTTTTTTCCTTGCCATCTGATAAATGTTCTGTTAATTTGTTCAGTGTCTATCTGCTTCAAGAATATTTGCTCCATAGAAACAGAAGCTCTATTGTCCACTGCAATTTACCCAGTTCTCAGAAGAATGTCTGGCACCTAGTAGGTGTTCCATAAATATTTGTTGAGCAATTGAGTGAAATCTAATTGAAGAAAACAGCATTCATAACCTTGCTTACAACACATGTGGTCTTTGGTGTTTCCTGCCTCCTCTCTAAATCATCTCTTTCTTTCTTTTCCATACACAATACATGCCAGCAATGCCAAACGATGTGAAGTTATCCTAGAAAATCTGGTGTTCTTATTGGGGGAACAGTATGTCTTGAATGACCTCTACCCACTGATATGCTCCACCCCCACCTCCATGGCCAAGGGATCCCAGGCACCGAGGACTACAACTCCCATAATACCACGAATCTGCCATGACTATTGACTTCCTGATGGGGGATTGTTGGGAACTAAGGGAGGAGTTTAGTAGCCACACTTGTTATAAAACTGAACACACATTGGCCTGGAGGGAACGTTGCTTTTGCCTGCCTGCAGTGTGCACCCAGGATTTCAACTCAGGCAGTGTTACAGGTGGGATATATTGACCAATTAATCTCTATCTCTCTCTCTGTGCTCCCCTTCTTTTATTTCCCTTGTAAATAAACCTTTTATTAATGTTTCCCTGGGTGCCTGCCCTTGGATCTTGTTCTGACGTTTTTTTTTTTTTTTTTTTTTAAGATTTATTTATTTATGCATACAAGAACTGAGATGTAGGTCAGAGGTGTGGGGGATGAGAGGATTCACCAGAGACAGAGTGGGGAGCAGAACAGGCAGATGGACCAAAGACACTGCTGAGGGGAACAGCGGATGAGGCAGGAGAGGTCTGCTGCGCCATATGGGTAGCTCCCTGGCAGAATGTTGCAGGGGCTGTGGGTAGCTTCACCGTGCTGTGTTTGACCCCTTGTGCCCTCAGGGAGGCCCTGTTCTGAGGTTTTTTAAGCATGTGGGTGAGGACTCACACCCACTCCATCCCATTACCTTTGGGGTTGCCCTGTAATGTTCTCATCTCCCCTGTCCTTTGCTCATGCTGTTGCTCACCCTGCTCAGTCCCCATTTTTCATTCTCTCTGTATCTGATTTACTTCTGTGCTCATTTCACCTGTGCCCCATACTGCTTTGTCACACCTCTATCTCTAACCCTGTATACCAAATTTATCTGCTTATTATTATGTTTTCCCCATTAGATATGACCTCCTTCAGCTCAAGGACCAAACTTTTATTCACATTTTGTATTCCTAGCCCTTTGCATGACACCTGACATGTGGTAGGCCCTTAATAAATGCTTGTTGGATGAATAGAGTACAGACTGGCAGTGCAAAGGGCTACAAAAACACAGATAGAAAAGTATGGAGAAGGGAGAGGGCCAGAGATTAGTTGGAAACTGGATAAAATTTCCATGACCTTGCAAGATGAGTAGACTTCCTTCAGATAGAGTGCAGGGAAGGGCTTTCCAGGCAGAGAATACCATTGGCAGAGTCACAGAGATATGAAAATAAAGCCATGTTTGGGGAATGGCTAGGCAGCTTCTGTGCTGAGCATAGGAATTGGAAACTTATAGGAAAGGACATCCCAGAGGGACCAGGGCCAAATGGGGGGAAAGGAAACTGCCAGGCAAAGGAATTTGGACATAGCCTGTGACAGTAGGTATCATTGATGATTCACAGGAGGAGGTGAATTGTCAGAACACAACACTGATTAATGTTGCAAAGAATGAACTTGAAGAAAGGTCTGCAGTTAAAAATCCTATTGCAATAGTCCAGAAAAGGGATTGTGCTGACCTGGACTGAGGCAGTGGCAAATGAAATGACTTTTCTTTTTTAAAAAAAGAAATAGAGGGCCTCCCGGTGGCGCAGCGGTTGAGAGCTGGGTTGCGAAGCTGCCCGCGGCCTCTGCGACGCCGGTTCTATCCCCGGCTGCTCCCCGGCCACCAGAGGAGGGTCCCACATGGCGCGCAGACCTCTCCTGCCGCCCGCTGCTCCCCTCAGCAGTGTACTTCGGTCCTTCTGCCTGCTCTGCTCCCCGCTCTGCCTCTGGTGAATTCTCTTACCCTCCCGCGCTTCTGACTGTACCCAGTGCATGTATAAACAAACAAACAAATAAATAAATAAATAAAACATGCCTCTATTAAAAAAAAAAATTAAAAAAAAAAAAAAGAAATAGAACCAAACAGAAAATGAGGATTGAGTAATGTGTCAGTGTGAGCAGGTAAAGGAAGAAATAAAAATGTACCCCAAACTCGGATAATTAAATAACACAGATAGTATAGAAAGAGAAGAACACTTTTTGTAGAGAAGTGGGGGTGTAGGTAAGGGACAGATAATGAATTTAATGGCCGATATTTTGAGCACAATTATGCTTACTTCCAATGTTATACTTTATATTTTACTTAAATATTAATGCTTGCTAATAACATTTATTGTCTTATAATATTAAAGCTGAAAATAATGAATTGTTAATAGGTGCGGATGCACTAGAAATTTTATAGTTAGTTACCTACTAAATGTTAACTACACTGCTTAATAAGGATGTAAATATGAGAGGCAATTATCCATGCTCATCATGATTTTTCAGTTATATTCAGAACAAATTCTCTATTATTTTGTCCATAACATTTTCCAAATACATATCTAATCTATTTCTTTAGCCAAGCTTTAAATAGCTGTTTTGGGGGCACACTGAAAATAATAACATAAAACATTATTCTGCCACTGGGGCAATGATATTTCCTCCAGTTAAAACTGTTCTCATTTCACATCCTCTCATGCTGAGTTTATATATTTTAATTGTTTCATAATTATAAGGAACACAAGCAGCAACCAACCCCAGGTTGTTTTGTCATGTTGTCTTCATCCAGAGATTGTAGAAATCTTGATTCTGAGGGAGAAAAAATGAATTCATGTCAAAAGAAATTTCTTAAAACGGAGGTCAAATGTTATAGCTAAAATTCTGAAACCTTAAGAAACCTCTATGTTATTTAAATTCTCACTTCCTTTCCTTTAGTTCAGTATATCAAAGAGGAATAGCTGGTAATAAATGAAAGACTTCTAAAATTCAGGGTCACGGAAATCTGAATGGTTTAGGGAAGTATAAGTTTTCAGTGTAAAATTCATTTTTAGATTCATCATACAGTACCTGGAAAGAAGAAACTATTGTAATTTGGGGTTTTCTGTTCATAGAAATCTCACCTCCAAAGTCTGCTACTACAGCATGCCCATCCTCATAGAGAAGAATATTATGACTGTAAGAAAAAAACAAGTAGACTTTTAATGATCTTTACTATTTCCTAATCCTACTGGCTCTTTAAGGAAGAGGACTTCAGTGAGTGTATGATTGCCTCAGGAGTTAAACAAACCCCAGAAAGCTGACAGATTTCAGGTGAGTGACTGATTTTCTTAGTGCTGCTAATTCAAAAGGAATATTTACAAAATGTGATCATCTTTGAAATATATTAGCATAGACTTATAAAAAATATCTTAAACTTGTTTTATTAACTGAACATGAGTTTTTCAGATTTGTGAGGCTCATTTGCTAACATAATTGTGGTTTTTCAGGCAAAAAATAAAAGATATTTGTAAGCATGGCGAGTCATAGTGGGAGAATCTGCTTCCTGCAATCCCCTGGTGCAAGAACATTTCCAGGCAGGGTCTGATACAGTGAAAAAACAATCAATGGACAATGTCTTGGCTAATATGATCTTGCTTCAGTACCAGGAGGGAGAGTATTGTTAAAGCCTGTGAAATAATGCTAGATAAATAGTTTTAAAGGAAAAGATATAAAGATCACAATGTCTCTCTTCCAAGCCAGACCTGAAGCTAGATTAAAAGCATCCTTCTTTATAAGTAGATCAAGACCTAGATGACCTAAGAGAGGACTTCCACATTTTAGTGAGATGAATTGTGGGATATCTTATGCATAATTTTCTAAGTGACCCACAATTGTCTTTGTTCCTGAATGCCCTTCTTTCTGCTCATTTTACATTTGGCTTGTAAATGATTCTTTTCAACTAGGAGACCTCCCACTGGAATTCTTTTAGTGCCCTAAGGCTGTACTGTATTTACCTCTATCTTTACTTGTTTTGCTTTGTGACAAAAATAAGGAAAATACTATTATTTTCAAGTCCTGAAGTTCAATATGATAAGTTCAATATGATAGTGAATCATTCACATAAATGTTTCCTGGTGTGGACTTGAACTTTATAAGCAAGTTATTTTTAAACTTACCTTGTATTATTAATACATTTTCGTTTTATGGTATAAATTTAATCCTCTTTTCAACAACTAAAAATCTTTGCTTGGAAGTGCCCAGGAGAAAAGTAATAGAGGATCTCTAAACAAACCATTCCTTGCCCACCCCCATATCCCCAGAGGCTTTCTTTAACTATAAATTACCTATTGATACATATGATAAGATTGATACTGTCATGACAAAGAACTCTTTATAACTTCAGGAACTCTCTGCATATTCAACATGCAACAGGAAAAATGCATCTAAATGCTGTGTCATTTAGGTAACTAGAAGGATTTAGGGGAATTTCAGTACCATAATCCCTTGGCCTATCAAAAGATGTTACATTTCATAAAAATAATAAAACACATACTTAGCTTGGATTTATCCATGATATGTATTTATATGTGTGACACCTGGTCAATTACTTTCTTTTTTAATTCCAATTAGTTATTTAGAATGGTGGTTATAAAAAATATCTTAGCAACATATAATCTAATACAGAGTAGATTTCCAAGTAGAGCTTTAGTTAAATACAGGGTAAGGCTCACAGAAACCCTAGTCTTCATCTTTTCCAAAAAAACTATCATTGAGGCAATAAGTTAAAATCATGAGTCTAGAGGAGACCCTACATAAGCTACACTTCTAGGGAATATCTTGTTTATTCATTTATTTTATTATTTATTTTTTGCATTGCTTACTGAGTAATTGGAATAGGGGTGGAATATTTAAGAAAATTTTATTCTTTTAAAAAATGTAAGTGAATTTTGTCCCAGGGTCACCTTACAGATTATGATTATTTTCTAGTAGGAGATCTTGTGGATATCTTGCACAGAATGAGAGACAGGGTGTCTCAGGGTGCAGGAATTGTGCTTATTACTCCAGCATTTCTAGCACTTACTTATTACATAGGCATGTTCAGTAAGAATTTTTTCAATAAATAATACAGTAAAATAAACTGAAAATAGAAAGTAATGAGTTGGGAAAGGTAAAGATGATATTAGTTAATCAGCAAGTACTCATTAAATATCTCTTAAAATCTATGAATAAATATTTACAATCTTTAAAATGCTATAATTTTAAGGTACATTAAAACTAACTTAATTTAACTCTCTTACTTCCTAGAGAAGGAATCCAATTTTCAGGGAATTTAAGTATATCAAGTAGCAAGTATAGTGAAGGTAAATTAGAATCCAATTCAAGTTGGCCACCATTTCAGATTCCAGAACAGTGTCTGATAAACTGTAGGTGACCCGTGAATTTTGAATCATCGTTTTTCCTTACTATAAACCTTCCTCTAAAACATAATATTTACTTTTCTTACATTTTCAAGATACTGTTACAATTACAGTGTGATACAAGTTATGGATTCCAGCATTAAGGACCTTATAATCGACTGATAAAAACAAAGATAAATGTGGCTAGTGTAAGAATTCAGAGAGAACAATATAGGTTAAAAAGGGAATTGACTTTGATGTAGGACTTGAAAGAAAATCAGTAAGTCTACAAATATTGCCTCTTATGTGATCCCATATACTGAGGTACAGGGGTAACCTCACATTCTAGTGAAGAGGAAATGGGACAAAAACAAGTTCAGGAAACAAGGAAATGAGAGAAAACAAGTTCAGGTTGGGTAAAGATCTTGGTAAAGACCAAGAGTTGGAGATGTATGTGGCCTGCCAAAGGAATTACAAGAAGAAGGTACTTGCTAAATTGGAGAGTAGATGCTGAAGAATAATGGGGAGTGGAGGTGGTATTGCATTACAAGGGAGTCTGAAATTTAGGGACAGAATTTTAGACTTGATCTAAGGAGTTGTAATGTTTTTACTGCATAGGAATCAATGCTCTGAAAGCAGAGACCTATATTCAATGATATTTTTAGGCTCTAGTGTTGAAGGATTAAATTAAGAAGGTAGAGTTAAAAAAAAAAAAAGATTTTTTGAATCCATCAGAAAATCTGAGAGAAATGTCCAGAAATAGAAGGTATAGCTTAATAGAGGATAATAGAGAACAATAAAAGCAAGAATTACCTTCAAGATTTTTAGGTTGAAGTTTTTTAGCACAACACAACAAATACTAGTTAGAAAGGATTAGCATGAAAATCCTGCAAATTTTTATGAAAAGGAGAGTAGCCGACTTGGGAGGCTGAGAAACCTGACTAAATCCAATGTGCTGACCACACTCTACTCAACACACAAGTAACTATTATTTTTATCTAATTGAAATAGCATTCAGAGTGAACTCTTATGTCATAAACAGTACTGAATTAAATAGAGGACACAGTGAAGCTTTAGGGACACAGAAAAATGGGAGCTCATGGCAGTAAATGGGGCCAAATGTAAAAAAAGATGTTATGAAAATGACACTGCAGAATGAGTATTTTGGGAAATACTAGGATGGAATGAAATTTTCTATTCACTTCAAGGTAGTTTTTTTGAATTTGTTCATTCTTTTTCTCTAACCACTTAGTAGCGATGAAAATTAATTGTTAGAGCTATCTCTAAGATCCATCTATTAATTTTTCAGTTAACACTAAGCTACATTTCATATGGATTAAAATAAAGTAGGAGGACAGAGCTGAAGCTGACAGAATCTGTCCTAATCAGCAACAGTACCAGGCTTGGAGGGAGTCTCACATCAGAGGCAGAGGTGTCATCAGCTTGGGGGGTTAAGGGTACCCAGGGAAGGGGATGAGCTTGGGGCTGAAGTGAGCAATAGAAGTGGTACCATTATTATTAGTGATGATCTTCAGAGATTATTTTGATATATGTCAAGAACTGTAAGTTTTAAGATGAGTTAGAATAGAGCCTCCCTGGTGGCGTAGGGGTTAAAGGCAGAGCTATCAAGCTATCACCAGCCACTGCAGCATGAGTTCAATCCCCAGCCAGGGAGCTAACCCACATGGCGCAGCAGACCATTCCTGTCTTACCTAATCTCTCAATAGTGTATTTCAGTCAATGTGCCTGTTCTGCTCCCCACTCTGTCTCTGGTGAATCTTCTCACTCTCTGCACCTCTGGCTTACACCCCAGTACTTCTATGCATAAATAAATAAATCCTTTAAAAATAAAAAAATAAATAGATCATGAATGATATTTTTTTAAAAAAATGAGTTAGAATAATGAAAAATGTGGGACCAGTAACATTCAAGAGAGAAGGGAGAAAATACTACATGAGCACCTCCTGTGGGCAGACACCGTCATTTCAGGATTTTTTTTTTTTTTTTTCTCAAGTAGCCACTAAGTGATTGGCATTAGTGTATGTATTCTCAGAACAAATAATTGAAAATCAGTGTGGTTACATCAGATGCCTAGTATCAAGAGTGGTAAACGGTGGAGCCAGCATTCAAGTGTCAGTCTTCAAAGTCTGCCCTTTAACCAGAGGGGTGGGGGGAAATGAAGAGGAGGAGAGAACAAAAAAAGGCAGGGAGCACAAGGGTCTCTGTTGGTGGATTATGGGTTCTTTGGTGGTGGCTGCACCATGGCAACAATTCTTGAAGTGGGGATCCTATACTTCAATAATGGAAACAATGATATAAACCAATATTAACTCAATAAAAAATACTAAAAAATAACAAACACCAAATCTTCCCTTTTTAGGAAAAGCTGACTCCCAAAAGTGATTCCAAAATTCTGTGCTATTTGCTACTTGTCATTTTGTTGTGTTAAGTGAGGCTTCCTTATGTTCAGAAGCTGCTGAGTTGATGAGTATGCTGAGTGACACTTGCAGGGTCAGCCCTCAAAGGGCTACGTGGCTGCGTTTGGTTGTCCTGCATTGCAGGTAGTGTGCTAAGATGGTGTGTGCCAATGGGAATTTGCACAGATTACTCTTCCTGCCGTGAAGGACTAGTTCTATGCTAAAAACTATAGTGCTTGCCTTCAAAGAGACTATAGTTCAACTGAGATTAAAATAGAAAGTCAAGAAATATTATAACACACAAGCTAGAATTTAAAGTGTTATTCACTGTGAGAGACCTAAAGAAGAATGCAATGACTGTAATTCTGAAAAAGGCCATTAACAAAATAGAAAAATGGGTCTTAAGAACTAGAAGAAACAAGAGGAGGTATATAGGATGACAATCTGGTTTTTGCTGTCACTAGTCCTGTGATTTGGGACAAAAGATAATACTTCAACTTTTTTTTTTAAAGATTTATTTATTTATTTATATAAGCACTGGGTACAGTCAGAAGCGTGGAGGGTGAGAGAAATCACCAGAGCCAGAGCAGAGAGCAGAACAGGCAGAGTGATGAAGTACACTGCTGAGGGGAGCAGTGAGCGGCAGGAGAGGCCATGTGGGACTCTCTCCTGGCGGCCGGGGTTTGAACCACCGCTGCAGAGGCTGCGGGTAGCCTCGCAACCAAGCGCTCCACCGCTGCGCCACCTGGGAGGCCCAATACTTCAACTTTTTAAGGCTTCCTTTCTCATCTTTAAAATATGTGACAGGGATAAAGGTAATTTACAAAACACAGTTTTGTAAATTCTGAACTGCTAAGTAGGTATTGCTTATTATTAATACACATAACAGCTTACAGAATATTTGTATGACTTCAATGCAAATGCCCTTTATAAACTATAAATTTGTATACATGTTAGGTAAAAAATCATGAGTTTTGGAAGCAAAGTGATTTCATGAATCAAAATCTCAATTGACAGAGACTTTACTATGAAACATTTCAACTCACTGTTAGCCTGAAAGAGTCTCTTCCATCCAGCTCTAATTCTATAAAACACAGAGCTTTGATTGAAGGACTGCATTTCACCTAGCAGAATCTTTGTTCCCCTTACTGAAATGATACAGCAGTGTTTGGACTTAGCTAAAGCTTTGTCTTCTATCATGAAGCAAATAATTTGGGTCAACTGTTTATGTAACAGAACTAAGTATTTATCTTTGAAGTGTGTCTCTTACAGATCACTTCACAATAAAGTTCTTTTAACCTTAACAATGGATGCACTTAGCAGAATACAAAATATAACTGAGGGCAAGATTTACTTCATCCAAATAAGTGATGCGAATGCAATTTGTGCTCTGACCTTCAGTTCTTTCTTCCACAGTAACATAGTTCACTTTCAGAAAAGAATAAGCTATTTTCAATGTGGGGTGTGTGTGTGTTTATATCTTCTTAATGTTTTCTTTTAAACAAAAGTGAATTGAAGTCAAATTTGGTTGGTTTCTTGCGACAAAGAAAATTCTGTCCAAGCTCAGAACTGAATTAATTTAATGAAGTCATTATGTAAGCATCATGAGTCTTTTCATTTTAATTGCCTGTATTGAAAATTTACCTAACGTGCTCAAATGATTCATAATCAGTTGGTTATGCACTATAGTCCAATATTAATTGTCACTATTAATCAGACTGGCCTGATTATTAGACCATTTTCCAATTCTGACTTTCTTTCAGAGATGGACTGAAGTTCATGGTGGCCACAGGAGAATCAAGGTGACTTGTTACTCTCACTCCACTATTATGAAGAGATTTTTAGTCTTAAAAAATGCATAAATATTAATTTATATTTTTCTGCATTATAGAGCCATATAATTGCCTATGTCATTTGCTACCAACAAACACTAGATTAAGGTACACCCAGTGTCCTTATTTGAAGAGATGACAGCCCCAGAAGTGTAAACCTAATAGCAGCTTCCTAGACTTCTGGTAAGTCACTGTTTCTTTTTTCTTTCTTTCTTTCTTTCTTTTTTTTTTTTTTGATATATGCCTGAAGGTGATTAACTTACATGATTAAAGACACATGGCTATTGGCATGCCTGGAAGAATTCCAAGGGTTAAATCAGTGGAAGCAATTAGGCCTCATTTTCAATCTCATCACACTGTGAAAGTCATTAGTTGACAAACACATCTGCCTGACAAGCAATCATTCAGACCTGATGCTGAGGAGTCCCGGATGTGTCTGTTACCATATTTTACTGAAGGTGCTATGTGATGGCCCAGGGATTTCTTCCTTCTACAGATCTCTCTGGGGAGCACCACCTTTTTGACCTTCAGCACGAGCAAGTAAGTACGTTGTTCCCTCTTCTCCAGCCACCCCTGAAAACCCCTTGAAACCTTTGCAACCTCCAAACTGAATGTGGATTATTTACCCCCCAATGGCTTTCAGTTTGTTTTAAGTACAATGTAAAGTACTAACCAGACACTTGAAATGTAGTGCTATTCATATCTACTTGTTTTAGAGATTTGGACGTTTTCCTAAAAGTATTTCAGGTCATCTAGGAAGCTCACAGATAAATTCTCATATGCCCTTTTTTGAAATCTTTCTGTTCAGATTTTATCTTTCTGTTCTGTTCCTTACATCATTATGTAGCATAAACTAATCAAAAACTCATTTTTGTGAGAAGTGAGAGCTAGAAGCAGTGGTTTTAAGTCCCAGATAATGGAGACAGCACATTTAGGTTCAGCTTAAAACCTTATTATGTAAGTGGGCCTCCCTTCCCCTGGTGGAGCAGCAGTTGAGCGCTGGGCTGCAAGGCTGCCCGCAGCCTCCGCAGCACCGGTTCGTTACCCGGCCGCCGGCGAGGGTCCCACAAAAAAAAAAAAAAAAAAAAATCTTATTATGTAAGTGATGTGGTGACTGAACCTTCAGCAACCACTTGAGGGTCCCTCACAATTTGGGCTATACATAGAACCTGGTAACAATTGTACAGGAATCATATACTTTGCTTCACTGACATATACAGACTCTACTGATATTCTCAACAACTCCTTTGTACCTTGGGAGCACAGCATAAATCATTCCAGGATGCCTACCATCCCAGAAGATTTTGCTATTCTTCTGCAAGAAAAGTGAAGCCTCTAGAATTCTTTTTTTTTTTTTTCTATTCATCAGGGCATTTCTCCATGCCAGAGGCCCAAGAAGAACGAGACTAGACTTCCTTACTAATCCCTTTGATGGCAGTTCTTCACTGAAAATAAGTAATTTTTATTTTTCCATGCTGCCAGGAAGCAGCCCCAATTTGGCTTCATACCGATTAACTAGAGATACCTTGTATCGACCCTGGGTTTTTTGTCAGTCTGGGGAAAAGGCATGTTGACAGCACAATAGCCGCCAAAATTCATTCAGGAATAGCAATATACAGATCTTAAACATAATCTAGGTAAGAGAGAAGGAATTTGCCAAAGCCTCATATCATGAACTTCTAAATACTGAAAGCCTAATTTCAGTGAACTCTTGGAAACCATGGAAACAGAAAACTTCAATAAATGCAAAGGATTGCAGAACCTTGACTTTTCCTAAAACAAACCTCAGTCTGTCAGTAGAAGTATATTTGAGGCTTACCTCTAAAGCTACTGGATTTGTCCCATTGCCAGTGGAATTGAAAAGGTGGATTATAAGATTTGTGTTGTAGTTAAACCCATTTATTGAGGGTAATATGAAAAAACTCCAAATACTTCACTTACTATTTGCTCAGCACTATGAAATACAAGTGGAAGAGTGATAATGACTGAATAAATCTAAACACACACACAACACACTATTGATCGTGAGGTTTCTGAAAGAGATGCCCAAAAATCAACTAGCAAATGTAATTTCCATTTCGATGAAAGGTTACATTTATTGCTTTTCTGTCTTAACAATATAATCTTATGAGGAATCTTAGAGAAGCTAGCTGCAAAATGGGACATTTTTGAATGCTGAACAGTCAAGATAATATCACTGGAGACAACAGCTATACATTCATTATTTTAATTTAAAATTGAGAAAGGGAAGAAATGTATTGAAAACATCATCTTGACTATGTTTTTTCTTACAGAACCTAACATTTTCTAATGCATTGCAAGCATGGACAAATAGAAGATTTTGACTTCAGACTGTTGGTTGTGAATCTTATATTTGGGAATCAAAAGAGGACAGTGAGGGAAAATTTTTACTCACAAAGCACAGTCAAAACTTTGGTGACTAAAGAAAATGGCAAAGTCATGTGACTTACAATTGTGGAAGTAATAATTAACTGATTTGATTACTAGAATAAAGCTACAAAACCAAAGCACCAAAGAAATTTTCAGCATTTTCTCCTCCACTATCACCTAAATTCTGCTTTCCAGTCACTTCTGAACACTAGTTTTAAATAATACTCTATGGTCCTTAGGCAAACCCCACTCTAAGTATGCCCTGAAATGCACTGGACATTTATGTGATGAAAAAACATGAGTCTCTCAACATAACAAGATAATAACAAAGAAGAAAATAATATGAATATCTAGGTAGCAGAAATCTGGGACTTAGACAAAAAGGAGCTACAGCAAGCCCTACTTTAGAATTGGAAAGAATATTAGAGATCTTAAATGATCTCTTTATAATGGGAGAATTTGAAAAACTCTTTTTTGCCAAGGCACCTAACAGATCTTCTGACTAATACCTGTTCTCTTTCCTCTTTTTTATTACCTCCTTTTTGACCAGTCTCTAAAGACCCAATCCTGACTCCAGCCCATATTAAGTGTGGAGATAGAGATGCCAAGGGCACTGACTAATAGGGTACCCACTTGTACCACCAAGCGTCATAGTACTCTTCTCACTTAAGTTTAACAAACCAGATCCACTACTAACTCCTCAGCAGAGTGCATCTATTTAATACTCAAGCATAAAATGACCATTATAAGCCATCCATCTCTTCATGTTAAATCAAATCCTAGACATTGATGGGGAAAAGAAACTAGGTGAGAGAGAGAGAAAAATAAGAGCAGAAATATATGAAAGACACATAAGGGAAGAAAAATCTTGTTAAGTTCACATGGCAGGCACCACTGCTTTTTTTGTGTACCAGTATTCCTATTAAAAGATGCCAAAGGAGGTGTACTTAGTTGAGCAGAGGAGGTCTTAAAAATAACTGAGAGGAGAACTAGGTTTTATCAATAAGTAGGCTTTAACAGCAAATCAAGGAGAGACATGAACTCCTGGGTAACTCAGGGGAGTAGAGGAGGTGGTGCTGTCTCTGCCAAGCAGAGGCTTTGTTCCTGCAGAGCTAGACCTCTAAGGAATGTCTCCTGCTAACCCCTCAGGAGGAGCCATAGATGAGTATTTAAAAAAGTATTGCTTCAAGGGAATTTGTTTGCAACCCTTTGGAAAGCAGAGAATTATAGGTAACTCAGGAAAGGAAACCACCCACTAATGGATTCATCTGAAGCAGTGGCTTTCACGCTGATATCTCCATTCCCATTGTGGGTGCACAGAAAGTAAATGCTCACGTCTCTGCAAAAGGGCAGGTTAAAAAAGTACTTATCCCACATGCCTTCTATCAAGGATACTTAGGAAATTCAAAGAAATGAACTGGTCTATTTTTTTAAAACTCGTTGAACCATTCAGCTTCTCTTCAGTTGCTGAGAAGAAGAGCTGTTGAGTTGTTGTTGTTGGTTTTGTTGTTGTTGTTGTTTGTTTGTTTTTGAGACACCAGATAGTCTCTCCCTGTGGGACAGAAGTATTAGTCACAGGAATGTAAGTTATTAACCATGAGAGTTTGGGGCTATTTTAGTTCTAACCCTTTGTCACTGCTGTATGACTGCCCTCACAATACCCCAGGCTCACAATACCCCAGGATCACAATACCCCAGGCTCACAATACCCCCTCTCTTTCTCCTTCCCTTTGTTCATGTTGTTTCTTCCAAGTCTGAATTTACTTCCAACTTTTCCCAAATAAATATCCCACTTTCAACACCCTGTGCAGTGATTTCTTCTTATGCTCACTTTCCCATCATTAGTTCCTGCTAAGAAAAGTTCCATAGGCACAAGTAGACCCATGAGCCAGAGAAAATAATAGTGATCAATAAACTCTTATTCAATTAAAATTTCTTCTTGATACTGGAAGAGTAAAGGGTAAGAAAGACAGGGAATGAGGGCAGAACTTTCTGGGGTGGTTATATACAGCAGTGACTTTTCCTGAATTTCATAGAATTGAATTCTGTAGCTACTCACACCAAACTGTTGTGCATATTCCCAGCAAAGATGCACATTTTAAACACAAAATAAGCTCCCTGAGATTTAAGGCCTTCATTTCCCCCTTTTAGTCTTATTCCAGGCAAATTCTTTTTTTTTTTTAATATTTATTTATTTATTTATACAAGCACTGGGTACAGTCAGAAGCATGAGAGGATGAGAGAATTCAACAGAGCCAGAGTGGAGAGCAGAGCAGACTGACGAAGCACACTGCTGAGGGGAGCAGCGGGCGGCAGGAGAGGTCTGCGTGCCATATGGGGCCCTCACCCAGCGGTCAGGGATCGAACCGGCACTGCAGAGGCTGCAGGCAGCTTTGCAACCCAGTGCTCAACAACTGTGCCTCCGGGGAGGCCCCAGGCAAATTCTTAACTGTCAGCTTTCTTTTCTACATAGTCACCATTTACCCATCAAATATTTGGCAAATACTTATTTGCCTTGCTGAATATTGTGCATCACCAAGAAAAATCATTAGAACAAACTCATCTTTCCAGTTGCAATACGAAAATCATATGAAAAAAATACTCCTTATTCTACTCCTTAAGTCACTGACTGCCATGCGTACCTTATGCCCCTCTATTTAAAGATCACCCTCTCCAAGTCTTTCCTGAATGCTTACATTCTAGTCCTGCTTCAAGAAAAAGCCTGTCTCCTTTTTGCAATCTTGCCAAAATATTTTAACCCATACAATTGACTGTTAGTAAATGCC